TTTATAAATAATATTTCCTTTTTTAAATCATTATTATTATTGTATACTTATTATATACTCATAATATAAGAAATTACTTTAAAAAAAAGTAATTCGTTCGATAAGATAAAATAGGGCAGATAAACATTTAATCACCGGAACACCTAAGTTTTTTTTCAGCTATATTACGAAATTTCTCTGATGAATCTCTTTTGAATTACGACCTTAAAATGTAATCATCGATTCATCGACGGTCACTATTCGATTCGGATTATAAAACAACTGATTATTTTTCAAAATAAAATTTAAGAACGGTCTTGCTTTATATAACTTATCAACATTTATTTCGCTTCTTTTTGGAATGACTGAACTATCATTTAAATGCAAATGTGACAGTATCTAAATAAAACGATTCGTTGGCATAATATTACTTATGTATGCAAATCTATATGTATGCAAATATGTATGTAAATCTGGAACTGATGACCAATAGTATCTAAAGCTGCATTGCTTTTTTATACCTAAAAATAAATGAATTTTTATATTGTTAGTATTTGTTTTCATGTACGATTTTCCATTTCAAATATATTTTTGATTTGCATACAAATTAGTATAAAAAGTAATATATGTTATAATTTTGTCCGCCAATAAAAGTTTGAAAACTTAGAATGGAGTTTTTCTGATGGGGTTTCCACGATATTTTTTGGCCCTTACAAACAATCAAAGGTAGAAATGTCCGTATTTATATTTTCGCTAAACGACCAAACATATTCAATAGAATGGTCTTGAATAAGTGAGTTTTTATCAAAAGTTGGTTCTTCCCTCGCTGCATTTTGAATCAGTATGGGCATTGCAAGTTCATCGTTTGTTTAAATTATTTTCAATATCTGGAAAAAACGTTAAAAAAAATATTTATTTAAAAAATAATAAATTTCGTTGTCATCGATATTGTCGATCGACGATACACTATCATTATCTGACGGCAAATCTTCGTAAATCATTTGATTTAATTCATGGTCAGTATGATTTTTGGCCATTTTATAAATATAATAACAATAAAAAAAAGTAAAATCCACACTTCAACTACCAATAAATAATAAATATACCCGCACAGTATGCGTACCATCATTGGCATTTATCGACCACTAATAACTATTTTCTACCGACGCATCGTTGTCGCACAGTGACACATATAATGGATGATCATTTTTACATAGATACCTATAAGGTTATTTTTTTAAAAATTGTTTTGAAATAGTCAAACAAAACTGCAATTTCTTCTTTATACACTTCACGCCCAAAAAGTTAATTTTTTTCAATTTTCCCTTTTTCACTGATTCGCGTTTAAAACTCTTTTAATTTTTACATAGTAAAAATATCATTTCAGTGGATTCACAAATTGTTTTAAATTCCTTATTTATTATTTTTTATTATTATGACATAAACTATCAACGAAACAAAAACACAAGTTTTTGAATTGCGAAATGAATAAAATGAAGTTATTGAAGTGTTAATACTACAAAATAACTTTTTCAATTTTATAAAAATGTTATAGTATTATTATTTTTTTTAAATATAAATAAAAAATTGTTTTTCTTAATAAGCGTTTAATTATTTCCGACGGATATGGCTCTCATCAAGTGGTTCGCGACCTCTAGGTTGAAAAACGCTGAAATAAATTACTTACAACGATTTTTCTTGGTTTATTTATTGATTTTTTTCTTCCATATATATAATAATGTTTAAAACAACAAATGACAGAAAATTTAAAAAAAATAATTTTATAGGTGATATAATATTTTTCCCACCGCGTAGGAAGAGACATTTTTTGGTGGTATTGTGTATATCTTAACGTGCTAGAAAGAGTTGAAACGTTGAGTACAATTTATATTTAATTTTAATTTAAATTTTTTAAACTATTTATTTTATGTATGCCTTTCAAATTAATATCCATCAGCACACTAAATCCATAATGAATTGTCAAGTGCAGCGAAAACAACATTCAATGCATCCGTGCGCACACCTATGTAATTAAAAATTCGTACATTTGTATGAGCCAGATTCTAATTTATCAACAACATAAAATATTAAAAAATAATAATAAGTATATTATATACATCAATGATTGTCAACATTTTTCAGCCACCAAGCTTTTTTTCAAATAATATTTTCTCGTAAAATCCTACGATATATTTAGTTTTATTTGCCTGTGTTTTATGCAGCATATTATTTATGATATGTACGTAGGAGAAAACTTAAGACGAAATAATGTATAATAAATATAATATATCTGGTATACCTGTAATGGGAATGCGTATTATATAAAATTAAACAATTATATTTTTTTTTATCGGGATTTTAATATTGTTTGTACACTTATTGATGAATTGTATTTTATTTGATGGAGTCTTGTTAGAATACAAATGTATGTTGTTGCTAGTAATGATTATTAATTGTTATATTATTAAATATTTTATGGTAAAACGAACAACGCTCTTGAAAAATAATTGTGCGGAGCACAGTTTGGGAACTGCTGGTATGCACTTACATAGAGACGAAACTAGGAATTTGTACGCCTGGTTGAAATGTTAAAATTACGCTATATCATAGAAAAAGTATTAAAACCCTTCCCTACAATGGTTTTCTTCTAATTATTAGAATACAATGATACTTATTTAGTTTTAAAGAGATTACCAGTAACAAAGTTAAAAATATCCAACTAGTAATCATTAATGAAGGCTATATCCTACAAAAATTACACTTACTAAAATTTTGCACCCGAGATTGAATCTCCGTCTTCCTCCCCCAAGTTCGGTCATTGATTTTACACTGTCCAAAAATAGCTTTTTTATCCGGCCCGCAGACAGTGGAAAAATAATTAAAAATCGTTATTAAAATACATTTGATTTTACCGGTGGCTATTGTTGTATCATATATATATATGCTGGCCAAGCATGTCTTATCGCTCAAGTTTGATTGAACAGCCGTCTACGGAATTTACGTCGATTGCACACGTCGATGCCAGTCTGTCAATTACCGCCGATCCATCGTATTACGTTGTCATTCGCTACATGTTATTTTTTATTCGTTTTTATTTGATTATAGTTGAGAAAAGAAGGGAAGTTGAATTTGAAAACCGTCAGTTTTTTCATCAGCGTACGGAATTATACTATTTTATTTTACCGGAATGCTCAGGGGCCTTGGCAGTGTGTTTGATTTAGGTACCACCAGACTATAGCTGTTTTTAAAGTTTTCAATATTAAATGTTATTACAATATCATCGCATAAATAATTCGCGCAAAATGTATACAATATAATATAATATAATATACAAAATATTTACTTTGAAATTTGATGGCTATTATTTATTTATTAGACGACTATTACGTGATTTGTATAAAATTCAATATTAATCGTTATATTTTTGTCAGTTTGTCATTGGCAAAACCAATAAGTCACATGTTTGTAGACATGATTTTTAATTAGTAGTAAAATAATATTATATGGTCGATATGGACAAACGTACTTAACAAAATATCATAAATTATTTTTCTTCTGTGACAATGACCAAAAACATAAGCCAATTAATAATGAACTGGCATAATTCTAGCAATCTATCAATTTTTTTAATTTTTTTCCAAATTGTGTGTTTTATAAGTACCTATGTAAACAAAAAGATGCCTGGACCAACTTCGTTTTAAAAGTTATTGAAGAAAAACTTCAAAAACTTCATTTTTTTCATAACGCGCATTTTTTTTTTTTTAAATACTTAGAATTGAATATTTAATTTTAATTTTTCACATATTTACATTTTTATTGTCACTGATACCTACTTGAGGTGGTTTTGCATAGCAAGTCGAAGGATATTTTCGATTTGCGAAGCGAAGCGATGGCGCCGAGGAGCGCAGCGACGAGTGCCGAAACACTCGTATAATAGTTTCATTGGCCATTGCCAATACCATTGCCATGCATCGTTTGCAAAAAAAATTTATTTCATTTCCACACTATTAGACAATTTTTAGTGCATTATTCTTCTTAAATACTTCGTATGTAGGTGTACCGGGGTCAATTGTTGAAGTTGACGAATCAAAATTCGGAAGGCGAAAATATCACAAAGGACTTCACTTCAAGTTTTTGAAGTTTTTCATCAATAACTTCAAAACGAAGTTTATCTCGGCTTCTTTTTTTTTACATACTTATAAGACACCCTAAAAAACACATTTTGGAAAAAAAAAAATAAAAAAAATCTATAGGTTGCTAAACTAGAATCGTTCCTTCTTCTTCTTCCTTCAGCTTAACGGTCCTTGAAGGGCCTGAGCTGCCACGAGTAAGTCTCTCCACCTTTCTCTGTTGAGTGCTAATTCAACAGACGCATTCACATCCACCAATTGAACGTCCTTCTCCACAGCATCCTTCCATCTCGTTCGCGATCTACCCAGTGGTCGTTTTTTTTGCATCGTTGTGGTTATGACCTTTTTGAGTATATTATCTTCAGCTCTCCAAATATGTCCAAACCACTCCATTCTCCTAGTTCTTATAAACGTTAATATTGTTGGTTTTCCATACAATTGGTTCAAATTTTCGTTTTTCCGCCTTTCGAATGTTCTTAGATCGGGATTGTACACCGGGCCAAAAATTTTTCTCAAAACTTTTCTTTCAAATATTGCCAATTTTTTGTTATCGCCTTTCGTCGTAGACCAAGTCTCACACGCGTAAGTAACTATTGGTCTCAGATAACTGCTATAGAGTAGTGTTTTCGACCTTCTCGACAGCAATTTAGATTTCAATAACTTTTGGATGCTATGGTAGCATTGGTTTCCACTTGCTAACCGTTCAACTATTTCCTGATGCATGTCGTTTTTATTGTTTATGTTCACACCCAGATACTTAAAATTTTCTACACTTTCAAATGTGAAATTATCTATTTGTAGATTAGGCTGATCTTCTCTTCTCCTGGAGAGTACCATACATTTTGTTTTTTCTTTGAACTTCGTTCCTATGAACTAATATTAACTAACAATATGTCGGATAGTAAAAAAGTAAATTAATAAATTATAAATTATTTAAATTAATTATTTCTGTGTTTAAAATAAGTGTCAATCTATTTAAAATTATTATTGGCAGAATGTATTTTTTCTAGCAATACTTTGAGTTCATGTAGTTAAAAAATATTTTTATATATTTGTAATAAGTTACAGTCAATTGATTTTATCCGTACATTAGATTCTGCTTCTAAAATCTAACAATGCATGTCAAATAAATAATTTATAGAGCCTACACTGTAGGCCCTACAGTGTTATTATATTTGTGATGTACGACCGGTTTTGAATTCAAAATTCATCATCTGATACAAAATTAATAAAAAAATATAATAATACCCCCAGTTCAGCATTTATTTTTTTATTTATTTTTATATTAATCTATGAGTATTAATCATTTACTAATTTTTGTTTTATTAAATTACTTTATTAAATAATAATGTATATACAAATAAGCATTTTGGATTTTACTTATAACTTTATGAGACTTTTAAATGATTTCACGAAACCCAGTGGTTTTATGATTGGACCTTTGTGTAGTGACAATCGTCAAAACAAAAATATGTTTGTTACAATGGTAAAATTGTCAGTTCTTATTGTCAAAAGCTTAGTAATATACACTATTTTAATAATACTATCGTCGAAATATCATTAGTGTTTTCTTAGTATTATAAGTGGAGGAATTAGTAATAGTAAAAAATCTAGCCTATCTGTTCTCCAATATTAAATCAGATAGCAATTCATTCATTTGCCTCAAATATATTGAATGAAAGAGAATCTGACAAATTAATAAAACAATTTGAAAATAGTTCATTTAAAGTTAATAAATCTAAGTTTTCAGTTATTAAAAGAACTTATTATGAAGCAAAGAATAATAGACCTTATAATGATAATTTTAAACTATTGGAGTTGTAAAAATGAATGGTATTGATATTGAGAACGGAATATTGCAGTCATTAAAAATAAAGAAGTAAATTCAAATAGGTATCTATATTTAAAAAAGAAGATTGTGAAAATTAAATTAACATGATTATTAAATATATGTTGATTGGTGATATGTTCTTCTTCTATGAGTTCCTATCCGTTCCGGATGTTGGATATCATATTTGTAATGTCATTCCTGTCAAGTGATGCCCAAAAAAACTTAATAGATGTTATATTGTACCAATCACGGAGATTCTTCATCCAAGATATTCGTCTTCTTCCGATACTTCTTCGAAGTAATATGTTACTGTACATTTATTATTATATTAATGTAGCCCATAATTTTATTTGATCATTTTAAGTTAAATTAAAAATAAACTTTAGGTCACTTGAAAATAAATATTAACTTCAATATGTTTCATATATATATACAAGTTGAAGTGAAGTTTAAAATGTAATTTAAATAATAAATTATTAATTTCATCAATGGATTAATTATCAATGGATGCAATTAAAGAAGAAGACATTCATAGGAGAGATGATTGAAACAGCTAGATGAAACGGATATTCACGTATGAAGATTAAACAAAGAAGAATGAAAATTTATTTTTTCGCCACAACAAGACCAACAATGCTTACGATTATTGACGGCTAGTTTAGTATTTGTTAAAAATACAGTTCATCTACGCCATTGATTTTTAGTGATTGAGAATTGCTACTCTTTGCTGTATGGCTTATCAATTTCGGTTTTCAATCTCTTAGATATAAAAATCTGTTTGCCAAAGCTTAAACCATTAACTTATCATGAATTCTTCTAATAAGGGCTGAATACCAAGTACGATTGGTAATACCATAGATGCAATAGAACATCATTCAGTCGAAATTTCAATCGTAGCTTCATAAGATTTCATCAAAATATTAATTATAAAATTTGCAGCCAGAAATAAGTAAGAAGAATTCGCTGTATATGTCCAAAGATTAGTTGTCAAACATATAGTTTTACAATCTCTCACATTTAATTCTTTGATCATTTTTTGTTATACCTTTGATACTAGTTTTGGAATAAAAACTTGATTTAATAGAGTAGAGCTAGTAGTAATGTAGAATAATCTATAAAATCTACGAAGTTTTTTATTTTTAAATACAATTTTTTTAATTAAACGCTTAATAAACAACTAAGTGGCAACTGTCAAGTACCAATAATACAATCTATATAAAAACTTCTGTCAATATTTATATTAAACTATGAAAAATCTAAAAATAGATTGGGAAAACATTAAATTAAGTTAGTCACAATATTGAATTATATAATAATTTGAAATGGATTATAAACTTTAATTATAATGATAACTAGGTAGCTAAAATGATAAAATATAAATTTACAAATTTTCTAATTTTTAATCATCCACATTTCATTTCCAGAATTTCGAAATTTTTAATTATAAACAGAATTTCGGGATTTGGAAAATAAATTAATTTCTTAAATTTTTTCCACGAGGTTTAAGATACTCGCTCATTCCCAATTTTAACTCTTTATAACAATATTATTTTTATACAGTTTTTATGCAATATTCATTCACATTAGCATGTGATAGATGTGCATAAATTAAATTTATTATGAACTCTTTGAAACTGGTTAACACTCAAAAATTCGTAAAATATTTTTATTTGTTTTATAAATCTGATAAATTTTAAAATAATGATTTAATGATCAGTCGTATATATAAAAAATGATAAATGTTTTATTGATTTTAGAAGTTTTCGCCAATTTTTATTTTTATTGACATTGTAGTACATTTTTCATGATGTCATTTTTCCTGATAAATTAATATAATTATAATATAATACTCGTATTTATGATAAAAGTATCAACAATTTAATAGTCTTTCATGGGATTGAAAATATGACTTCAGTCATATAAACTATTGTCTTAATCATGTAAGATATTTTAATAAAACAATAATAAATTTAATGAAAAGTTAAAAGATAAACAGAAGAAAAAATTTTATTAGCGGAATGATATTCCAGTATCTACCTACGGATTATAATTTCTAGAATCCTAAGCATTAACTATTTACACATAATATTATATTATTATTATTATTACACATATTACGCATCATGATTAATTAACAAATACTACAATCAATGTGAAAACGGTGCAGATTGCACTGCTAATTTTGAGTTCAAATACGGCGAGGTATTAGTTAGTACGTTTTACGTTTATAGAACGACTAAATAGTTTTTTTCTCCGTTGTAACAAATGAATATATTTAAAAATCTTTCCAACGCACTAAAAACCAGTGCTTCGGTTGTATTTATGACGACGGTGCCAGTCGGAGAGAATTGTTTAACAAAAGGATCCGTCCGTCTCAGCGGTATAACACGTTAATCCGGGACCCGTATCACGGAGACACGACCAACACCCTTCGAAGAATGAATGGCGGCAGGGGGGGGGACGATCCGGTTTACAAACGGAAAACACGCGTAAGCGACGAATGTGGCGGCGTTGCTCACATTCCGCGTCGTTCCGATGCACAAACGGGTCGGCAACAACACCCGGTTGCGTGGTTGTGTTCACCGGGATAATGGTTTCTCGGTGGTTTTTATTGGTGCCTGATCGGCAACAGTGTAAACGACCAATGTGACGGCATTGTACGCATTCCGCGTTATTCCGATGCACAAACGGGTCGGCAACAACACCCGGTTGTGTTCACCGGGAAGATGGCTTCCCGATGGTTTTTATCGGTGCCCGTTCGGCAATAGTTGGTAACCGTCGGTCTCGCGTTACCGGCAAGGTGCACCAACTGTAGTCCGGCAGTTCGTCAACGTTCGTACTGCGCACGCCGGGGACCGACGTTAGTCTACGTTGTTCGGGCGGATTACACGCACCACGCAGTAAGTAATGGCGCAGTGATCTCATCCGCGCACGTGTCAGATTCACCATCAAAATAAAAACCGTACCGACGCCGTTCGGCGACGTTGAACGCGTTGATCTACTATTAAACAACGGTTTTATTTTACCATTTTTATTCCAGAAACAATCAATAAACACTATACGAATTGTACATACGAATGTATTGTTCACAGCGCAGCTCACCGATTGCCGTTCAGATTTCGTGTTCCACCCGTGTCCACGTTTCCGGAATCGACGTTCGAGATCGGAAACAGGTCAGTAGTAATATTTATGTTCCTCCCAGGAATTACTTTTTGGATACACGGGCATCTTTCGTCATACGTTGAGGCGAGGGGGTAAACCACGTTATCTAGTTTTGAATTCAACTAGTGATGGGAATAATCGAATGAATAGTAGTCGAAAACAGAATAATCGAATGATTCATGATTTAGCTGCTTGAACTGGTTGTTTAAATAATCAAATGATTATCTATAAGCGTGAAAGTGAAATGCATTTTGAATCCAAATATTTCTACGTATTAAACCGATTAGTGTAGCAATTACCGATACCGGGAATAATACCAATGATTAAAAATAAAATAAATAATTATACAATTCTGATGGACAGTTGACTTTTTAATTTAGTTCCTTATGTGCATTGAATAAAACACACAATTTTTTTCGAATAATTCAATTAATTTGCTTTTAATAAATATGTCTGGTAGGTACCATTATTTCGATTATTAATATCATTCAATTATTTCCATCACTAAATTTAACAGTATTTCAATTTGTCATAATATTTAATAACAATAACATTTGAAACTATATTATTAATTCTAGATCTTTACCCATTAATTTTTCATGTAAATTATAGACAATAATCATAATTAGAGTGAATATAGCATATTATAAGATATAAAATATAATGTGTTTAAGTATATATTTATTCTTCTTTTTTTGGCCATACTACTCTCTAAATTTTAACCGTCATCTTTTTCTGTCTCATACCATTTCATGTCAATTATCTATATTCAATGAGCTTAGGTCCTCTGCTATACCGTTGATCATGTATTGTATGTGATTATTATTATATCAGTATATGTTTATTAAATGTATTATATTAAAAAAAAAAAAAACTGTTGTAGGTTTCATCAATATATTATTATTTAATAAAATTTCAAAAAATGTTTGTTTACAAATGAATAATATAACCATGTTCATAACTTTAATATAAAAATACTCGTGCAGTAATTTTTAAAATTTAAATTCCTTTAAATTAAAACTCATATTTTGTTATATTATTATTATTATTACAACCAGAAAAACAATGAGTTTAAGATTTTACAAATGTTTATATCAAGGGGTAAGGTAGTGTACATCTGAAACAGTAAAAAATATTTTCATAAATATAAATAGACAATTAAAATGCATATTTATCTAATGTTACATAATACTGTAACAAAATAAAAATATTAACATCATTTAATATACCCACAATTGTAACTTAAATTAAAAAACTGCCATGCTGAAATTTTTTACAATAATAATATTACAATTTTCTATTATTGTCCTCTAAATGTAGTGAGATTGTTATAAAATTATTTTAATGATATTGTTTCATTTTATTTTTAGATAAATATTTAATTTTAATGTTACTGCGGAAATGTGAATGTTTAGATGGATAAGCGGAATGAAAAAAAAAGATAGAATAAGGAACAAATATGTGATAGGTAGTATTTGTGTAGTGTTGATAGCAGACAAGATGAGAGAAAATAAATTGAGTTCTGGCATGTGATGAGGCGAGAGGAAATAAAAGCAGTAAGAGTGATTTTAAAATGAACGTTAAAGGGAAAAGAGGAAGAAAAAGACAAAAAACAGATAATTGGATACGATTGAGAATGACAATGAATTTAATTCTTGAGATTAAATTATGTATTTTCTGGTTCTAATTCAATCAATCTTTATTTAATATTAAATTAGCAATATTAATTTTATGTAATAAAGAATTATTGGAAATGGAAGAACAATTTAGAATTGAAACATATTCCAATGAAATACAAATGCCAAATCTATTTTCTTTAATTTAAGTATGTATAATCTTTTTTTTTTGTATTAAAATTAAAATTGAGGATCAGTAAGATTATTGTTATTGTTATCAAGTGATCTAATTCTACCAAAATACATTTTTAGATGATTCTGACTTACAATAAAAGCCTGCGATTACAATGAAAATATCCTTTTGAAAAACTTTCACAACTTATAAATATCAACATCCATTAATAAAAAATATTCAGGAGCCATGTAAAGATCAATTAATTAAACAACCATTAAGCTCTGAACCAAAATTAACAAATCCATGATAATATTTACCATTTACCATCCCATTCAATAAGCTTTCATATCTCATATTTCTAATCTTATCCATTATAAGAGCATAATATAATGTATTAAGTGAATTTCTAAAAACAATTAAAGTGCTCAATGATTTTACTATATAGTTAGGTTTAGTGTCAACATGCATGTACCATTTACTAAGTCTACAAGGAGAAAGCAATATTAAATCATTGCATATCAAGTATATATCATGGGAGAACAAAAATTTAAAATGACTGTTAATTTACAAATCACAACACTGTACTTTTGGGTAACTTCCCACAGTTATTTTCGAGCAAATTTGTCATAAGATTTTTATTCTCATCGAAGCGGTTTTAAACATTATAACTTGATTTTTATGCATAAGCAGTATATCATTAATCACTTTGAAAATTCTATATTTTCATTAACAATATTATAACAAGTATAAATTATACAATCTATAATTTAATGAAATAATTGCTTTTTCCTTCTTTCTAGTTTTTTTAGTTTCACTTTTTTCTTTGCCGAAGAAGCTTAATTTTCTAAAGTCAAAACCAATTTTATTAGAAATATTTTGGTGGTGGCAATCGCCACCATCTTGTTGGACCATAATTTCATTATCGTTTAATAATTATGATTAAAAATAAAACAAATAATTAACATCAAATTGGTATTAACATAAATCAATACAATATTATTATTTTTTCGTTTTGGTGTATATGATGAAAAATTAGTATGCTCATTTGTGGAAGACCTACTTTCAGCTCTAATCTTTTACAAGAAAATAATTTAAATTCAAATTTTTACCAATGATAATTAAATTTTTAAAATTGCGATTACAATAACAGCTATTGAACAATAAGTAATTTCTCAAGTTTCTTTGAGGGTTTCTGCTCATGAAAACACTTTATAGCCTACAAAATTAAATTAAAGATTTATTAAAATAGGCATACTCACACAATGTGTCATTTATATTTTATATACATCATAGGTGTGCGCAGATCTCTTTTTCAAGGTATGCAAAAGGCTGCCACTGCCTACCCCCCCCCCCCCCATCTAAAACTGAAAGTTAATTTAAGCATTCGAAATTCTGGTCTTAATAACTATTTAATTTAAAATTTTAATTTTTTTTTCTTGAAAAAAGTGACTGAATTGCCATTTCAGTTATAACTGTCTTCATAATTAAAATTTAAAATAAATTATGAAAAAAAAAAATTAAATACATAACACTTGAAATGGTTTGAGTAATACGTTTAAATAGGGTAAATAAATAAAAACGTAATTATATACTTAAATTAAAAACAAAATAAATTTGATAAATAATCAAAATTAATCATAAAACGATTCTGCGTACAATTGAGTTCTTAATATCACCAATAATGTTTTCGGGATTTTAATTTATAGCTATTTCTTGTTCTGTAGTTGATAGCTATTTAATCTCGCTTGAATTATTGTACTTCTTAATTTCATTAACACATTAAATCATTATTATAGCATATGATTTGTGTTGCAGTTTACATATGCAGTTGCATACCCTGCATACCCCCTACACATGCCTATGATATACATACACTAAATAATAAATTTATGATTATTTACCAATTTTTTTGAAACTGTATGAATGATATTTTCGTTTAATGTTTTACTATGGACACATTGTAAGAAGCAATTATTTTCAAAATGTGCCAAACATAAACACTCACTGATTTTAATTTAATTTTAAACATTTTGAACTTTGCAAAAATTGCAAGTACAAAATAAATACATAATATATGTATTGATACAAATATGAAAATAAATATTTTTTTTAACTTACTGATGAAAGCTAAAACCTCTCTCTTTATTAATGCAACTAGAAATCGTGACATATTAGGTATTTACAATAAAACAAACAAATAATAATAAAAATTACAAATCGAATAACGACATGCACATGATTTGCGAAAATTTAGTTGCCAAATCGTTTTTGCATTTTTCCGGCTGATAACACATATTGTAGTTAGATAAACAGCACATTATAAAATATCCATCTTGACATTTTCTTTTTCTAAACACATAATCTTACTGAATTTTTGTGTACTGTTTACTTAAAAATTTTTATAGTCATGGTCACCACATGGTTTAAAGATTTATGGTAGGAACAATACCATTGTGAGTTGTACGATAACACGCGGCCTTTTATTTGCGTAGGTACTGTAACCGCTTGATTGAGATTAATCGCTGTTGGTTGGATGCGCCACATACACCGTGCATCACAGTGACCGTGTTACAGACGTTTCATCAGGACTCAGAAAAACCATATCAACACAACTCGACGACATTAACTGTGGCAGGTTTATTCAAAAATGACAATTGTATTTCAATTCGCATTAGTAACAAATAATTAATGATAATATTGTTCATAGAACAGCTCACTGATTGCCGTCTACATTTTGTGTTCGTTGTTGTCCATATTCTTGCATCCAAATGCAATATTCGAGTTCCAACAGGTCAGTAGTACATTTATTTTAAGTAAGCTCTTTCCTTCAATTGGTGAACAGACACCAAAAAGTTCAACATGGACCCCGAGGTGATCCAACGGTGAACTTATTTTGTACCGATAACCGAACTTCTTAACTATGTTATCGACAGTCGATTTTTGAAAAACAACGATGAACCGATACTAAAACAGATATCAATTTTGTTTAACTATGACCGCGGTATTGAACCATATCAATATTGAAGGATTTATACCTACGACTATCTAGAGATAGTGTCATTTGTCAAGTATTAAACTACTATGAAGTTGTCTCAACCATTGAGCTCTACATGATAACTGGAATGCTTACCAAGCAGTGTTGTCCGAGGGAGAATGTTAGAACGATATGACACATACTAATGGTGTTACTATTTTCGCTTAACACATTGCGCTAATATCTTAATAACATATTTTACCGCGATATTATTTTAGTTTTCTTAAAAGTTAGAGTTTTAATTCATAACGCAAGCATATGAAATAACAACTTAATTTATGTAAAATAATATTTATTAAAATAAAAACATAGTGTTCATAATATTATTCATAATTGAATGAAAGTGTACTGGAGCTGTTTCTATTACTTACATTAGATTTTACTTACTACTTTCCTAACTTAACTTAATATTGTAAGGTTATAATTTAGAAAATATTAATACTGTAAACAAAACAGTAGTAAACAAAATTTTCAATACATTTTTGTTATACTTCATGGTCAACATTTCCTAAAATAAATCATTTTTTTAAAGATACTATGAGATATTGTAGATACTTTAACTATATTCATAACTTTGGAGTTATATGATCTGTTATGTTAACTAATGTAACTTATGTTGAGTTGGTTTCAGCCAGATATTTTTCCTTTAATAACAATAAAACTATAAATTAATAATAAAAAAAAGTATTTAATTTAAAATAAGCTATCAAAATATTCATTTATATAAGAAACCATTGTAAAATATAATAGTTGATTTATTACATTTTAAAACATTTATACAACCTTTAAAGCATATTAAAATAAAAGCATACACTTCAAGTTAACAATATTATATAATGTGAAATAAGTACATAAATGAGCGGTAGTATTGAAATAAAAGCATACAAAGAAAATATATATTAATTAAATATTAATATATTAGTTCAATGGTTTCAACTTGGGAATCAGTTGATAATATTTAAAAAAATAATTTTAAATATTTAACTTCAATGGTTTTACTATGATTTCTGGTTTTTTTATTTTTTATTATTGATTTTCTGATATACCACTCAAAATATAAATTTATGTTTATTGGTAAAAATAAAAATGTAATTTTTACAATTCATGCTTTAATATAATATTATGTATTATTATTGTCATAATTGAAAAAATTTCAAAGTGAAAACAGCAGTCCTCTGATGAAAGTCAAAAGTGAAATTACAGTACTGTCGGTACTGAACATGCTAAGAAAATTATTTTATTATTATTATCATAAATAGTATAAACATAAAATAATGTATTTAATTTATAAATCAGAAATAATTTCAATAAAATTTGATTCACTTCAATGTAATGATTAAAAATTATTTGATACATTAATAAATTTAACAAGAAAATTTGTAGAATTACAATTTCAGTAATACAAAATTGTAATTGTAGAATTACAATTACGATTTATAATTATAGTTTTAGATTTAGAGTTTAACGAGGGGTACGACTTGTTTGCACTTATTTAGTTTTTACGATTTGCTTGAGCACAACAGCACGTTTTCCTTCTCACTTTAATATAGGATTACAACAATCTGTTTTGCAGAGGTGTGATAAAAATGTTTATGTATGTTTTATTATATTTAATAAATGTTTAACTATACTATTCATAAGTAGTTCTTATAGTCTGTCTCTGTTTTGAAATTATAAATAAATTACTAAATAATATTTACTATACTAATTTTGAATGGTGGAATTTAAGTTCGATTTTCTTCTTATAATTTAAAAAATCAATAGTTTTATTTTTATATCCATTCTAAATATATTTTAATCATTTCTTTTATTTTAAAGCATATGATTGCTAGTATGAAAGCTGTTGATTGAATTAATTTTTAAATCAGTTTCACTTTGAATTTCTATAATAATGTCGATTACTTGATGCATGTGTGACTGAGCAATGTAGAACTGACTGTTATAATGTTTGTGAAAACTTTCTGCACCATTAGTGTTCTTAAGATTATTAATAGGTTCACAAGTCCATGTCAAAAAACCAAAAAATATAAAAGTAGTAAAAGATTTTGTACTAAGTGCTATCGATATAAAATCACATAATCCATCTGAAATTTTTTCAAGGGTAATTAAATCCAAAAAATGTAAGTAATCCAAAAAAAATTTTCTACGATTGACCATTTTCAAAATCATTGTTTAAGTACTTGGTCAACAAGTCGTTAGTTTTTAGTTTAACGACAGGTTTCGTTGTGTGCAAACGAGTAGTTATTTTTCAGGTAAAAAATGTAGAATGTGCTCAAAGGGATTTTGTACTGGAAACGAGGAATGTATTGTTATACTAAGATGTGATTTATTTTTTATTTTTTGGTCTGTGAGCATCAGGAGGATCACAATTAAATTATATACATAATTTTATTGAAACAAATATCTTAAGTATATTATTATACTTCTATATCAAATTATTTTAATCCTTACCTTGTAATGAATCAAATAATTTAAATAAAATATAGTAATAATAAAATACAAAATTATTTTAAATTATTTTATTAAATGTTTATCAATATTTATTAAACTGATATTATGATAAGGCATAATGTGTGATTGTGAAATTCAGAATCACGAGCGTCTAGAGACAGCGCCTCTTATCTGCACTATTATTATCAGTATTACACTATCACTACAGATGCCTTATCACATAATCAGTTGATTTCAATTTAAATATTATATTTAAACAAACAGCCATAATATTATATTATTTAATAATTATAGTAATTGTAATATATTAATTATTAAGTATAATTAATTTATATAGTACAAATTACAATGTCATCAAGTGAAGAATTAGAAGTAATAAATTTAAAATTTTGTTCTCTTCAAGGTAACGATTTAAAAAATTCATAATAATATCTAAAATTAGTCTTGTTTGTAAAATATTTGTAAATTATTTGAATACATATTCTCTCATATACTCATTACCATCCAATCCAAAACTGACAAATATTAGCGGGGCAAAAAATATTATATTCTAATAATCTAATAGTATTTGAATACAAAATAAAAGCATTTTTCACAAGACTACAAAACTAAACTATGTAAAATATCTATATTTAATTAAAATGTACTGTAGAGTGAATCTTGTATTATATTCAATTACTTGAGAAACTAAAGTACTAAATTATATTTTGAAATTATACCTATATAATATGTACTTATTATTATAATTATAGGTAAAATTGAAAGTGGAATCCCGCCAAATGTAATAATTGATCAGTTACAAAATGAAACTGATTATAATATTGAAAAATAAAAAAAATATTACAACAAGGAAAGACATATATAATATTTCTAATTCTTCACTTGATGACATTGTAGTTTGTACTATATAAATAAATTATACTAAATAATTAATATAATTATTAAATAATATAATACAATGGCTGTTTGTTTAAATATAATATTTAAATGTAATCAATCGATTATGTGATAAGGCAACTGTAGTGATAATGTAAAATTGATAATAATAGTGCAAATAAGAGGCGCTGTCTCTAGACGCTTGTTTCAGAATCTGAATTTCAGATAAATTTTGATTAGATGTACTCGTACCATGTATTATTAGACGCTCGTTTTGTACTACCTATCCAATTTTTTTTTATATTATTCATATACATTTGTAATGCTAATGGTTTGTTTTGTTTGTGATATCAGTTCTGATAAAACCCAAACCCGATAAGTCTGATCCCATCAATATCGACTGACATTCCTTATAATTTCATTCACCATTAAAAGCTATTGGAGCATTTGTCGTAGTAAATTATTGTTCATTCAAATTCCGTTATCAGTTCTTCGTTTAATTTGTAACCGTTAAGTAAAAATTATACATCGTTATTAGACGGGTGAATTGTTGATTGTTTTAAATCGTGGTCGTATATTGTTTTAACCATAAGTTAAAAATTATTTTGTGAATAATTTTTTTTTTTTTTCTAGGTCATGTAAGATGACAAGTACAAAAACTGAAGTTGTAATTGTTAGACCAAGAAGAATCGACGTATTTATTAAAAAGGCCATCCTAAATTCCCGAGTTGCAGTTCCAGTATTGATGGATTTGGGGTCGAAATACACTTTTATAAAAGAAAGTACAGCAAAGTTCTATAATCTAAATATAAAAAATGAAGAGACGGATTTTATTGGTACTTGGCATAAATATCGCCTTCCGGGACAATTGACTAAGACGGTGATTGCGAGTATAACGATAGATGGTGTTTCTCCTGGCAATATAAAAATATTAGTGGTCCCGGACAACGTAATGAAATACCAAATGCTCATAGGGCGCGATTGGCTAGGACAACCTGCGATTGACTTTCGAAAGACTCGGAAGCGGTTTATAGTATCTTCTCGAGACCACTCTTTTGTTGATATTATCGTAACCCCCATACCACCATGGGTGAAAAAGGCCACAATAAATCGCAAGCATAAAATTCGAATGACTATCGACTCTAGTAGTTATTATACACTGATAAAGTATAAACTTGTAAAAAAATGGAATTTAAAAAGATATATTGTTAACAAGGAATTATATGGTATTGGAAAATGTAATGTATTAATTAAAGAAAGAGCCGAAGCAGTAGTAGAAATTGATGGAATCCCTATAACGACTGATATTTATTTGGCTGAAAATTTAATTCCTGATGGTATCATTGGAAAAATGTGGCTGAACCACTCCTTGGTGAGATTTCGCAAAACAAACAACAATATCAAATTTCTTAAGAAAAAATCAAGTATAAGATAAAGCTATACTTTTTTATATATCATTATTATAAAATTATTATAAATATCAAAAATATTAAAATATACTTATGTCAGTTTTCCATAAATAGAAACAGTATTTCCATTTTTTTTATGTGAAGTTCAAGGGATATTGCATTGGATTAGTGTTAATTAAATGTTATTTTACAATCATAAATTTTAAATTTAGAATTAATATAATATAATATTATAACAACTATATTAATGATTTTTATTATAATTATTATTATTATTATATAATAAGCAGGGGCGTCATTTCAGTTTTTTTTTGGGGTTTGCGGGGTGTCAAGTAGGCCATTTTAAAATTTTATAAGGTTAAATAGAAATTTTTTTCTAATTAGAAAGTTAGAAATTTCATAAGTATAAATAGATAATTATATCTACTTACGTAAATTATTCTGCTTTTAATACTTCCGTAGATTACGAATCACAATCGACTTAAATAGTAAAAACACTATTTAAAAACTAAATAAAATAAATAATTGATTACTTTACCTGTGATTACTTTATCTAACTAATAATGCATAAAAGCTAGAAGATAGAAAATTCACCAAAAAAAGCACATCATATTTACACTAATAAATTATCATTATATTTTACGTATGACTTATATACTTTACAAGCAGAGTTCAGAAAAATAAAAAATTAATTATATTTTACAAAAGCGGATAATGGCGATTTTTTAATGTAGCAAATACATCTACAGCTTTTTCTAGACTTATGTTGTAAACTTCTTCTTTTTTAACATTAAGTACCATGAGATCACTTAGTCTTTCATCGCCCATGGAAGTGCGTAAATATGACTTAAAATTTTTGAGCGATGAAAAAAACCTATTATTTGATGCCGTTGTAATTAGTAAAGTTTTTATCAATGAAATAATTTTTAATGTTTCAGTAAAAGCGATAGGAAAATCTTTTAAGCATATTGCTATAGTATCTAAATTGACATCATGTTTTTGCTGATGGAAACTCAGATGCTATTTGAATTTAAAAATCACTTAGAGTAAAAATAAAATTAAATCGATAAATAATATAATAGCAATACTAGTGAGAACGAATTGAGGTAGTAATGCAACAGTCTTTTACGTACATCTGCATTAGCCGTGGCATATAACGTGGCCGAATACTGCGTCCCAGTTTGGTTCAGAAGCATACACTGTAAAAAAGTGGTAATGGAACTCAACCAGACCATGCAAGTAATTACCTGTACGGTAAGATTGACCAAAGTGCAGTGGCTGCCGATGCTTGCAAACATAGCTCCACCGGATTTACGTAGATTGATGCGTGCAGGATGAATAGTGGATAAGATAAAAAGCAACTCAGACCTCCCACTGTATGGAGATATTACTAAACATCCTCAAAAGAGACTAAAGTCAAGATACCAGATATTGGACCTTGAATTTCCGGTAAAAGCTTTGTTGAAAACATGGAAGACAAGCTGGAGGGACTCAGGGGTACAAGGCGTCACCTTCATTGAAAGTCAAGAGTCCCTGGTTATGATCTCCCACGGATAGCGTGGACAAAATTAAATCGGATTAGAACTAAGCACAGAAGATGCAAAAGCTTAATCAACAAGTGGAGAATGGAAAAATCCCCCCTTTACCCATGCTGAGCTAATCAAACGATCCGACATATCGTCGAAGAGTGCCAAAATACAAAATATGAAGGCAGTGTGGGGAAATTGCGCGAATTCAGGATGGACGCAATAAATCGGAAAATGAGGCTGGAGTTGCATTATAATTAACTTTCTTGTAATTGTTATATTCAAATTTTTAATTTTTTTAAATGATTACATGTTTTACTTACATGTTTTTAATGTTATTTATTTAGTTATGTCTTTCTTTGTTCAGTTATTTTTAATACTATTATTTAGTGCTTTATTATTATTATTTGTATCTTTATCATTAGTATTAATCTTATTACATTTATATAAATTCAAATCAGCCGATAGTTATATACAAAATAAAATAAATAAAGGAAATATAGCACGGCTCGTCATACGACCAATCCCACGGCCTATGTATCGTACCTGCCAATTTATAGGTATTTTTTTTTTAATTTTTTTAAAAATTTTATACTTTAATTTTAATTAAATTAAAATGGAACAGTTCAATGACCATATTATGGAATTCTTGGAACTATATGAGAGGAAACCTTCCACATGGAACACGACAGGAAATCCTCGACATAAAAATCAAAATCACTTGCAGGGTATAGGTGTAAAACATTAAGCATGAAGCATTAAGCAAATTGTTAACCACGGATCTTGTTAAAAAATATGTAATTTAATTAAACTTAAAAGATTCCAAAGCGGCAAACTTTAGAAAATTGGACTCAAAAGCAGTGGCATGCGCAGTAATTTGCTATGAGGGAGGGGGAAGACATAGATAAAAATGTATTATTTTCAATCTTTATTCTTTATTATAATACAAAAAAAAAAAAATTTCAATCAAAGTGGAAATTCATCCATTTGGTTTTTACACTGAATTCATCAATTATTTGTACTGTAGATAATGAAATGTTTCGATGTATGTTTTATTAACGTCAATCCATTTAACCGTTTCTTCGCCACGTCGTATTTCTGAAATACGTTTTTAAACGTTTAAGACTAAAAAAAAAAAAAAGCCCATGGGGGGTATGTATCCCCCTCATCCATCCTTGCGCACGATACTACTAAAAGCAAAAAAACAAAAAAGATTAGTTTGTTTATAAAAAATTGCAAAATGTTGACTAAAAGAATTCAATAATACATTTAGAGAGTAAATTTTTTTGCACGTCACGCGACGATCTCCCACGCCATGGAGTTGTATAAACACGCATACAAGGATGCAGTATATAGAAGAACCATGTGATCCCGGCTTTGCAAAAAAAAAAAAAATGTAATTATAGTTATAATTAAAATTATTCTTATACATTAATTACTCTATTGTAATTAAGAAAACACCAGATGGCCAGACGAAGACACGTCATGACCACGCTGCATACTTTCCCCATAACCGGTTTGGTATCGGCGATGCTTCCACCACTTAAACGCCCATGAGTCAGCTCCACCACTGAACAATTATCACTTACCGACCATGCGCAAACCGGTGTTATCTGAACTTGATTACAGAGCTCAAGTATTGATTGAAAAAAAAAAAACGTTCAGTCTTGTCATATTTAATTTACTAAAAAATATATAGGTATTTAATAAATACAAAAATGTGTATTGAATAATGTTGGTTTATTCTTCGATACTATTGTTAAATATTAATGACTAGGTCAAGTATTTAAAAACTTCAACATTTGATGATCTAATTTATTAGTAAAAAATGAATTTAAAAAAAAAAAAATAAAATCATAACGTTGGCCGATATGTAGAAGATAAATGACCACTGCGTTCCACACGCGCATGCACTGCAGTTGCCACCGGTCGATACGGTACAGTAGCACTGATAAGGAACATATTTTTCTCGAGGTCATTTTAAGTCTTCGAGTTATGTGTTTCAACAAACTTTTCATATTTCAAAACTATCAATTTTATTTTCACATTCTTTTCGACAACTTTGTGACAGCGCATTAAAGTATAACAGTACAGTGCATTACAGTACAGTAAAAAGTGTGCGTGTGTTGAATAATTGTTTTCGGCGCGGCGGTACTAAACGGTGAGACCTAATAAAATGAGTCTTGAAGTTCTCAAAACAAACGCATTACGTGGCAATAACCAAATTCTTGTCGCGAGTAACGGATACATTTTCAGACTATCACGAAAATGCCAAAACTACTATCGATGGAAGTGTTGTCGTTATAAATGCAAGGGGTTCATTAAAACAACAAAAAACTGGTCGAACATCAAATTGATTAGCGCCAGTTTTCATACACACTGTGAAGACGATACAGAAAGCATAAACAATTTAAAAACCATGATAACTAATCACTGTCAAATGGTGAGTTTTATTCTAAACATTGATAGTTTTCTTATGCAAATTGTATTGCAGCATATGCCCCACTATTGCTTTTCACATGTATTTGCATTTTCCCTTATTGTTGTTGCTTCCAAAGTTTTAATGAAATGCTTTACTGCAAGAATATATGGTGAGAAATAAAATATGAATGCAAGAGTATTCCAAGAAACACTTATTAATAATTGAACCATTAGGTTTCAAATGACAGATTTCCAAAAAGTAATATCTGATGTAAATTAACAAAAAATTATTTAATACAAATTAGCCATGTAGTTTACTACATTAATTTTTGTATCATGTATCATGTATTTTTTCTATGTATTTAGTTTAATGCTAAAAGAATATTTTTACTTTACCACATAATTTTGTTGACATTGATACCAAAACATGTCTATAAAAGTCTCTAAGTGGTATCTATAAAAAAATGTTATTCAATATTGTTTAACTTATACATAAAAAAAGCCCATACAACACAAACTTCTAGAAATTACTAGCAATGCTCAGTCAAAAGTTACATAGTTTATATGTATTATTAGTGTCAATATAAATATACTTTTTGAGGATTTAATCATTGACTTCAAATTGATTAGATTAATAAATAACATCAATAAAATCTAATTTGTTGATAGAAACTCTTTACTTTATTCTAGTCTATCATTAATATATATTTAAATAATAGATAAAAATTATTATTTAATTAAACAATCTAATTAAATAAAAAAATTTTATATACATACTCACTTTAAATAGGTATTGAACACAATTTTACAATGAAATGTTTAATTAAAAAAAAGGTTTTAATCTTAATTGACACATGCATGATTTTTAGTTTAACTAAATTATAAAAAAGTTTAATGTTTGTGTTTTTATTTGTGATTGATACATTTGAGATTATATCTATAAAATACATTTAAATCTGTCATATTAAATTATATACGTAAAAAATGTTAAAAATTTGAAATAACCGTAACTGCTTAAAATGCCTTATGCATTTCTTTAAAATAAAATTTGGACAGAAGTAAAATTAGTAACATTTTTAATATCAATAATTTATGTATCAGTCAATTTTTTTTTATTACTTTTAATTGCAATAATTCAAAAATATAGTAATAATTACATAATTACTACATAAAATTACAAATAAATTTTTGAACATATTTTAAAAAAAGTTAAATAATTTTTATCTTAAATGTATCTCATAATATTGATACATTTATAAATTATGAAATAACATACAACTAATTCAACTATAGTTGATTTATGATATGGTTTTTATGTGGTTTATTCTTCAACTGAACAAGTTTTTCTTTTGTATTTTGTTGAACTCTGTATTTTTTATTTCATTATTGAAAAATGGTCATGTGGTAACTAAGTTTGATTATCAAATAAGTTACTTCAAATCTTATGTCCAATTTGTTCATTTTTTTTTTATCCATTATTATATAAAAGTTAATTATGTTAAATAGGTACCTACCCATATTTTATTTTTTTAAATAAATATAAATTGTGTGCCTTTATAAGAAAATATGATAATGCATTGATAATGAGATGTTACTAATACAAAACTATCACTTAACTAGACCTTTTAATAATATATTGCTTTATCTTTTAATAATCAAATTTACAATTAGTTTAGAATTTGTCACATTGATTATCATACAAAAATGTTTTGATTTTGGAATTAAAATTACCGCAGTAACTGATAAATGAGGTAAAGTAAGGTATTTTTGTGGCATAGTTAATTTCGTGATATTATTTGTTGAACATATAATGTAATTCCCTATTAATTGACTTGAAAATTATATTGATATTTGAAATGTCTGTAACTTTTTACAATGTAATGATTAGAGCTGGGATTTTGATGTAAATGCATCTTTTTGTCTAAACACATAAGTCCGTAAGCAGAAAATGTGTTTCAAGTGATACTAATTATACTAATTAATTCAATGTAATTTTTATTTTGCATTTTTATGGCAAATTTAACTTTATATGACATTTTTTGGGCATATTTTGCTACTTTAACCGGTTTCCAAATTTTTATAGCATTTCTCAGAATGTATTTATAAATTCTTAAATATTAGGATATTTAATCACATGTTTCGACGTTTGTTTGCTCAAATCTTGCACGTTTAGTATGTAACCTACTAAATTGATAAATGTACTTACTTATTTAATCAAAAATTAAACAAAATTTAAATTGTCAACATTTTTATTTCTATTTGTAAGAGTCTAACAACGATTATAACAGAAAGTTATAAAATAAATTTAAATAAAATTAAAATTTAAACATTAAACAAATAGGTGCCTGTTTTATTATTATTATGTTAAATAAATATAATTAAATATGTTTGGTAACATGTTTAATATAATATAATTTTTAAATTATAATAAATAGATTTTTTAAAATCTTTAAAGTATTTTTGAAATTTTTAGAACATTAAAATCCCAGCTCTAGTAACTATCATGTCAATCGTATAATATGGAATTACATTATACGTTCAACAAATAATATCATGAAATTACCTATGCAATGAAATACCTTACTTTACCTTAATATTGAATATCGAATGCTAATTGCCATTTGATTATTTGTAGAATATGGATGTAAACGAGCAAGTAAATGAAATATCTTCTGCAGAGTATTACGATTTTGAAAATGTTTGTGACGATGTTTGGTTGAGTATCTTTAAATATCTCGATTATAATGACATTGCTAATATCATGGTGTAAGTGTATATATAAAATAAAAACTAATTATTTAATACTTTTAATAAATACATTTTTGGACTTTATAGAGCTTTACCAAATTTAAAAAGATTAACACAATATGCAATACTTTATAAGAACGTAACTTTAAATAGTTTTCAAAGACGCCAGGAAAAAAATTATCAAATGTTTTTAAAAGAATTCACCATGTCCTTAACTATTAGAGGGGATAATAGATTACTTTATACTAATTCAATATCATTAACATTTTTGAGAGAATTAAAAATAAGATGTCCTGATTTAACTTGTTTAAATTTGTATCATCAAATTTTTGATAGCGAACGAGTAAGTAATTTTTTAGATTTATTTTGGCTCTACAAATTCAAGATTTTAGCACTTCATATTTAATTGTAATTTTCATTTACAGTTGTCTGATATATTTAATTTTAATAAATTAAAATATTTGAAAATTGCAAGATCATCATTAGCTCCATACGTTAAAATAAAATATAAAGATTTTAAACTATCAAACTTACAGTGTTCGGAAATAGAGGTAAATTAATCTAATTTTTATTTATTCAATTTATGTATTTTACTGTATAGTATATTAAATAGTTATTTGCATCATTACAGATGATCAAGATAACATACAATGCGTGGTTTTTAGCAAAGCACTTAAAATCATTTTTTAGCTTGAAAAAATTAAGATGTCTGATTCTTCACGATTGCATGAGCTTGGTAAATAGTGACTGCTTACATTATATGAATTTTGGCAAATCATTTGAGAATTTACAGGTTAGTAAAAAATAGTGTACTTATTATTTTCACATTATACGAAATTCACTTAAGCCCTGTCCACACCAAGGTGACAACTAGGAACACAGATATTACCAATTTTTTTTTTTGCTTCTTGAAACAAACTGATATTTATAAGCATATCGTATACCTACATCAAAGCAACATATTTATGACAAAATTGGTATAGCAACAATTAAAAACATGTTGTTTAGTATTTACAAATGCGGAAAAGTAACAAAATTTAATAAAGGAAATATATTTTAATTAGAGAAGTATATGTACGTGTTCTGAGTTGTCTTTGAGTGCAAGTGATTTTTTTTTCAAAATGTGGTGCGAAGATGAAATTAAAGTAGCAGCTGCTACATACATATTAATAAATGGGGGGAAAAATAAATAAATAAAAAACGTAAATTTTGGGTTCGACCGTCTCTACAAGAAATAATTGGATACGGAAAACAAGGCTTATCGTTTATCCAAATCAAAGTTAGTTAGATAGTATATAATTATATAAATAATTATTGTGATAATAATTTAATAACGTTTTTATTAAAATAACAAAATTATATTTCAAATCATATTTTTATAATAAAAATATGATTAATTAACGCCAGTGACCAATAACTGGCAAAAGAAACCTCATAGTTTTGTTTTAACTTATCAGATCTTATTAATAGTTTTTTCCATAAATATGGAAAAACAAAACAAGCAGGTTACTTTTACAGGAACTTTTCTTGTGACACAAAAATATATAGAAACACACAGTAACACAATCAGTCAAACACGATGCATAACACAAATGTTGCTAGTTTTCATCTTGGTGTAGATTAGGTTTAAAAATTTTTAAATAAAAAAACTTTTAAGTATATACTTTTGAAAAAAAATAAAATAAAAATATTTATTTTAAATTAGACAAGTTAGTTATAAAAGTAAATTTGTAAAATTTAATATTCTGTTTTTGTTTGTAGATAAATATAATATTTATAATTATTTAATTCCACAGACTCTGGACTTGAGACGCACCTGTATGAATGATTTAGCGTTACGTTATATTTTTTCCATAAAAAGCCTGACATTATTGCTATTACATAAAAGTTTTCTAGAAGAACATCTAGATAATATAACTGATGTAGGTTTGTCATATTTGGTTACGGACTATGTAATAACGAATCGGATGCAAACAAATATTTACATGTATAAAACTAACTCTCAATCCTATAAAATTGTTATTTATGTCAATTTTATATTAATAGGGTTAATAATGAAAATAGATGCAAGTTAGAAGTTTTGTCACTGTGCTATTATTCGTATATATCGGATAATTTTTTGAATACTACAGCTGTATTTTACCCATCTCTCGAAGTCTTGGATTTAACAGGTACTAGTTGTACACGGTTAGGAATCCAATCATTTAAAGAAAATAGACCAGATGTTCAAGTAATACATTTACATTGAGGTAAATTCAAATAAAAATATTCATAGAAATAGAAATCAATTTAAAATGAATTTATTTATTAAGTTTTTCAAGGTTTACAAATATATTGTATGCATTTTTTTTTCCAGAAGTTGAAATTTTAAAAATAATTTTCAATAATGTCTTTATGATCTTAGACTGAAGCAAATTGTAAAAAAAAGTATTCAAAATAATTTGGTGTAATACTTTTTAAGGGCATTTTTTTCATAACTTAATTTAACATGAATTCATTAACGATTAGTTTATTAATTTGTTCTTGAACATATCTGATACATTTCAGAATATAACATTATAAGTAAGAATTACCATACAAAAATGATAACATTTTTGTAGTCAATTTTTTTATATGTTTTTAATTTTTTGACTATGAAAATAAATAATAATTATTTATTTTCAATTATTATTATTGTTTTACCGATTGTTGTACTTATTTATAATATTTATAATTATTGTAATTAATGCATGTATATGTTTAATACTTTACATTAAGTATATTGTACTAATTGTTTTGATTTTTTTTCAATATCATTAAACTAATTGAAAAATAATTCATTTTTCAAAAATTGAATTTTAATTATAGTGGCATACCCAGGGAAAGCTTATCCATTGCTATCGTTAAAATATTAAAACAAACTTAAAGCAGTTGGAGATATAAACGAGAAAATATGCAACTTAAACCATATTTGATTAAGTCTCTATTCAATATTATACAATAATTTATTATGAAAATAATTTGTAATGTTATTTATTATAATTTACATTGTTCAAACAAATAAATAAATTAAATTTTATAATCAGGTCTCAGTGTCAGTTCTTAAGTTTTTATTATTTTTTTGGAAATTACTACATATAATATTTACAATTTTACAGTCAAGCAATTATTCAATCATTTTGCTTTTGTTTAAATTATTTATTTATTTATTACATTTTTTCAACTAATAGAAATCTTATAAATGATATACTAAAATAACAAAAGGAAAAAAAAAGTAAATATTAAAACACCATAACATAGAAGTACATTTAGTAATAATTAACCTTTTTTTTTTTTTTTTTATTATTATCGAAAGGCAATATCGTCTTGTCGCTTCAAGAAATCCTCTTTATTATCCGCTAGTTTCTTCATTTCTGTATAGCTCCCTAGAGATAATAGTTTCTTCATATTTCTTAGATTGGTTTCTCTCGGCTATCCTCTTCCTTTTTTTCCATTTATCTTCCTTTCCATAATATTTGTAATTACCATGTTATGTTTCATAATGAGTCCAAAAAACTATTTTTTCTTATTTCCATTATTCTGATAATTTGTCTTGGTTCTTCTATCATATTTAATACTTTCATGTTCGATTTCCTTTCTCTAATAATTAATAGGTATTGCAATTTGATAAAATGTAAAATGGTAGATAAAATATTTAAGAACAATAACATTTTAATTTTTAGATATAGGATGTTTGATTGACAATAGTGAAGTAATTAACAGTATCCATTAAGTAGTAAAATGGCCATACTAAGTACATTATTTGATATATAGAGTTATGATGACTGATATCAAAAGTAAGATTAAACCTAATGGAATGAGCAGTTATATAGACACGGGCACAGACATTTAGTTTATGTAGAAATTCTAAACAATCAATATTACTTTAGGGTAAATTACCTATATAAAAAAAAACATAAATTTAACTTAGTTCTATACTTTTCGAAGTATTCAAGACTTGAAATGAGAATAGGATTGTAGAGAAAATTAAGTACTCTACGAATTAAGACAAAGTTAACATAAAAATGAATGTACATCTTTAAATCTCATTTATTACTTCTGAAAAAGGTTACCATATAATTGGATAGTATTCTTTAAATTGAATCAAAATATCAAAGGTAAGAACAGTAAACCAGATGTAATAAAGCAATATTTTTAAAAGTTTTACAACAGCTTTTAAAAATCCTAATATATTCATTGTTTAATTTTTAATAAAATTTCAAAGTTTGATTATATAGGTATTCACCAAATATTTTTATACACATATTCAGTGGTGACGAAAAGTTTATTTTCTTATGAAGCATTTACATGTAATGAGTACCTTCCCCAAGACAAAGTTTTAGATTCAGAGTAATTATTAAAATCAACGAGTCTAAATAAAATAATATATAACTTTATACTTTATGTCAAATGTGCAAATTATGTATTCAACTTTTTTGCCCCACCCCATTTTAGTCATGAAGCAACTGCTTCAATAAAACCCGTATCACGCCGCCACTGCACTTATTAAATATTGACAATAAATCACTATTTGCTTAGTTTCATTGTCAAACTACAAGATGATTAAACACTAATTATGAACTAAAAACTAATAACAATAATTATTATAGATCTTATTCTTTTGATTTCCACAATATATGAGTAGATATATATACATATATTTTTTTTTATATGAGTAATTAAATATAAATACTTATTTTTAGATCCATTTACAGTCTGAGCATTACATTATTAAACTTCAATGTAGATACCATTTTGATTATAGATGCTAGACTATATAAAATCTAAGACCAAGTGTCTGCAATATTACTTAATTTTATATTTTTTATTACGATTAATTAACATTAATAAAGGAATACACAGTTCAGTATTTATGAAAATCGTAAAAATTAAAAAAAAAAAAAATCGCATGGTAGTTATTGAACAACCCGACATCCGTTTCACACATTTCATCATTTATAATTTCCAGCATTCAGTCGTTTATAGATTCACAGTGCGAAATCAACTGTAGCCTGTAGGGTTTGTTCGAGAGTGAATTGATTTAGAATCGACTCTTTTAGGGAAAACTGAAAGTGTTGAATCAGTTTGCCATAATTAAATAACTTGGCATTACCCACAGATATAAATTTATATTCATATAAATAAATTAAAGTTCTAGCACTGATTAGCAATTATAATCTGTGGTTTTAGGGTCTGTCTATTTGCAGCACGAACTTCAGGACTATTTATTAACGAATGTTGATAACATTAATCCAAATGGGTCTATATGCAGTCGATTAGACCAGTACGTCGTTATCATTTTGCTATTATCAAAAATAAAATTGTTATCATAAATATAATTTTATCATGGATTATAAATTTATAATAAATGAATTACTTTATTTTATTTGTTACAATGTAATATTCATATAAATACAAAATTGTATTGTTAAATAATGTAGGCAGTCAAGTTGTTCTCAATATTTATTGTTTTCCCTGTATTTATTTATTTATAATTTAGACGTGCTTTATCTTTTAATATAAGGATAGGTAGGTATAGGAACATTGATGCGGCCAACAAAAAAAATTAATAGTTAAGTAACAGTAGTACTATAAAGAATTTAAAAATGTAATATAGATGCCTAAACAATACGTAACAATTCATTTAACATACATTTTTACTAGTTTTAGTGAACATTGTTTTCAATTTGTTTCAACTAATTTAAGTAATTGTTTAAACTTTCAATTTTTAAAAACGATAAAAAATTGACTTATTAAGTTTTGTTGTAATTTTGTTTATTTTATTAATTTGTTTGGAGGATTTACATTGCATAACAATTTTGGTTGACCTTTATGTGTTTGTAATTAAATTAGGTCATCATTCTAAAATTTTGAATTCTTATTTATTGATGTACTTTGTGAATTTTAAAATATGCTTTAATATACATATTGATGTATATATAAATTACAAGATGAAAAAGGGTCGGAAAATGAAACCATTAACAAGTGTCTGCCATGCTAAAAAATGGGGCAATAAATCTCAGTCGCTCTGGGGCCCAAAAGTTGTAGTTGCGACACTGGTCAAGCATATTTATAATAGACTTTCTACTGCTCAAAATATATATTCAAAAAACAAAATAAAAAAGTTAGAATTGGAACTTACATTTCATGTAAAGAGTGAAGATGGTATATCTTAATATTACAATGTAACTAATAAAATAATGTAATTCATTTATTATAAATTTATAATTGATGATAAAATTATATTTATGATAACAATTTTACTTTTGATAGTAACAAAATGATAACGACGGTGTTAGTCTAATCGACTGCGTATAAACCATAGATATATTTGTTAAACTAGATAGCCGACTATGTATAGACTATGCATACAAATATGAGGCCTGGTAACCATATGCAGGTTGGGCAATATTTACAAAATATGGATGTTATCAATCCTCATGATATAATTTAATCAAAATTCTAATTGCTTTTTGTTTAATGGTAAACTTTTGTGACTCGAAAGTCGTCTTATGTTTTGCTTTAACTTTACTGAATTATATTTATTGTACAGTTTTTATATGCAAACACATTATGATGTATTATTTATTTATGTAAATATGTATATATATATATATATTTATTTTTATGTTAACACTTAATAATTTATTTAATCTTTTATTATTATATTATATTAATTCATTTAATATAACCTGACTTCTTTGTATGTGCAACATTAAATAAATATTATTTACCATATACATTATACAAATAGGTAATTGTACATTTTTAGATTTGAAAATGAAAATTGTAGGTGTCTACCTATGCAATTGTTCACAGTTTTCTAGTGGTGCAATTGCTAAATTTTCACAGGCCAATATACACTACTGAAATTGGGCACTCAGTTATGATAATTGAGTGTTATACAATAATAAATATTATTTTTTTACCAATAGAATATTAAAAATTAAATATTTAAAATTTAATAATAATTTACTTATCACTATAATCAATAATGATAACAAAGTGTAAACATTGCCTAAACTGCATATGGCTGCCAGACTTCAATGATTGAAAGAAGTCGGCTATCTAGTTTAATATATATCTGTGATATAGACATACCCACCCCAAATTGAAAAGAGTTGGTAATTACGGGAGGGGGGAATTCTTCCTTTAAGCGGATGTGACTCCATCTGTTGATAAACATGAAATTATTATTTATTATTTCAGTTAACTGTAATAGTATTTTATAGTCGAGTATTTTTAATTTTACAATAAATAATACATTTAACTCATGATACATGCATTTTTACTACCTTTATTAAACAAATTATTTGCTATCTATGCTATTGTTGGCTTCAATATTGTTATTTGTAATTTTTGTAATTATTGTTTTTGTAATTTGGTTCATGTTATTATTTTCGTGCGATGCGTCGCGACCCTCGTCGGCGGCGGCAGTGATAAGCCTCCGTGTACGACCAGCCGGATACGTAATCGGGCTGTTGTCGCACGTAAGTGTTCGTCATTCCACGTTATCATTATTTGTTGGTTATATTTTTGTAAAAGTAAAAGTCATGTTCTCAGTGCCACAAAGTTTCATAAGTTCTCGTGTTTTTTGGTTAAGTGTGGTGGCACTGAGATATTTATCATTATTTTGTGGTGTACGGCGGCATAGCCTTGGTGGTGAATATCGTCGGCACAGTCGTTTATGTTGTTTTTGTGTGTTCATGGTGTGCACACCGAAATTCATCATTTGTTTTAGTTTTGTAAATGCACGTTTTGTCTTTTTGTTCTTTTCATCTGATTGCTGTCTTCGTTGGTGACTGTGATTTGGTGGTCGCACGTACCGGACTGTGACATTTTTTATTTTGTATAATTTTAAATACTACGGTGTGCCGTCTTAGGCAATTGTTGTCACGGTTCTGGTACGGTCGCGTGAGGATGAAATCCGCCATCAATTACAGTCATCTGATGTGAGTATTGGTCGACTATATTTATTTTTCATTGTTGTATAAAGGCCGACGGGCCTTGCCGTCTTAGGCATATTTATTCTCCTTTTGCGTTGTTACCATTTTTATATACATATCTTTTTTTACTTATTATATATTATTATTATTATTATTCACTAGTGTGCACCGTGTGGGCCACACATTGTTAGATATTATTATTGTATTAGCTGTGCCGCTGTAGGGCCAACCCACTGTTTTTTACATATGATATTATATTACTATTTATTATTTGTGTGCCGTGTGGGCCACATTGTTATATTATTAAAGTGAATATTTCCTGTGACTCCGGACCCGTTTAACGCTTAGCGTTAAATGCCACCCCCATCACTCCTACCTACTATGTGAGAGTAGAGTGTGGAGCGGTATAGCGCGGTACAATGGACCTTGACGTGTGGTCTGATTGGTGTATGCGCGGGCACAGGCATATAGATATATAGATATCAATATAGATATTAATATTATTTAATAATTAAATTTGTAGACGTTTGAATTGCTGTAGTGTGACTAGATAAGAAAAGTTGATTCTTGTAGTGTGACCACACTGATTGTTGTAATATTGATAGTAAATAATTATGCTGTAAAGTATAAATGGTTTGCTATTAATATATCCACAGACTACATAGATAAAATGATACCTCCATAAAAACCCGCTTATAATAATATTGTGGTGTCATTTAACATTTCTTATTATTATTCTATGTGTCATTTGTTAATTGTTATTGTAAATGTTGTTGCGTCCTGTGTAGTCACATAATAAAAATACATTATAAGGAGGTTCTCAAGAACATCGAAACCAAACACGTGGATAATTTAAATTGTTCACATGGTTTTCTGTTAAAGTAAGAATATGAACATCGGAGTCACACACACGTGGGTGGTTAACTACATGCTGGATCTTGCATTAAGTATGGGCTGGTCAAGAGATAGTACACAGAATCAATAAAGAATTATCATATTTTAGAGCGCACACACAGAATCAATAACGATTCATCATACACGTATTTATCATATTTTATTATCATTTTTCATATACATACACACACTTGGGATTTACATACACATTTACATATATCAGATATAAAAGGGGGTCCCGAAAAGGCCCTATTCAGACGAGTTTTGGTTATGCTGCATTGAGCACCTTCACGTCAGTGTATGTCATGGTCTGGACGTAGAAATATTTTGAACTAATTTTATAAAGTATTATTGTTAGGACTTAGAATAATTTCTATTGTTTTAATATTTGGACTTAGAATATTTACAACTAATTTAAATTTATTGTACTTAGGATCATTTTTAACAGTTTAATAAACTAACTTATCTTAAAGAGTATTATTTATTTCTTCACTACACCAACATCCAAGCGTTGATTAGACATTAGCACTGTAATCAACTGATCAAACGGTTGGCACGCAACAATGTTATTTAAAAAAAAAAAGGCACAATTTATTAATAACATTGAGAATAGACAATACAACAAATACTTCAAGTGATCAATTAGGTATGCATATCATTAACAGGGACTGGAACCGTTTGAATTTATCGGTATCGGTTCCAGTACTGGTTCTCAGAAAAAAAAAATAACTGTTCCGGTTCTATGATGAAAATTAATAAAGGTATCGGTTCCTGTTATCAGTAAAATTTAATATTATTTCTTATCAATGAAAAAAAAATAGGGAATATAATATATATTATTAGTGTGGTCCTTAGTTATAGAGGTTAAAAAAAAAATTGAAAAATTTATACTTATGGGTACGAAATTTTGTTTAGTATATTGACAAGATGATTTTGGTAAAATTTGAATTTGATAAGTCAACCCCTTCACGTGCCTCAAGGGGGTTAAAGTTGTATGATAAAGGGGTGAATTATACATTTTCACCAGAATGTCTTAAATTCTAAATTTAGACCATACACGTATAGGACTATTTTTATGGTAATGAATATTTACTACAAAAAAGGTATCTTATACATTTTTTTTAAAATTAATACTTTTTCGTAAAATTAAGAAAAACCAGTCAAAGTCAATATTTTTGGAAAATGGTTCGTTTTTAGTTATTTATCTGTATTTCCTTAAATTTTATAGTTACACAAAAATTGTAAATCAGCAATATTATTCCACACAATATTATCTATAAAAAAGAAGTTTTCATTTTTTTTTGGTACATTAACCCTTTAGTAAATAATCAAGAAAAACCTTAAAAATATAGGTTTTTACAACTTTTTATATAGGTACGTATACGACATATGTATTAAAAGGTGTTTTTTTTTTTAATTCACTAATTTTTTTTTTATTATATACTTTACTTTAAGATTATTAATACATTGTTCAATTAAATCAAGTAAAATTTAGATTTAACAATTATCATTTTGTAGATCAACAATTATTTAATTTTTATTGAGATCATTTTTGATAATTTTCATTAAGATTATCTATCCAATACTTTTATATTTAAAAATGTTATGGTTTCCCTTTTTCAAAGTCATCATTATTTAATGCAGTTTTATTAAACACGAATCACACTAAACATATATCTATCAAAATATACATTTAAGATAATAAACTTTAGAATTGAAAAGTATAAAGTATTGTCATCGCCCTTGTGTAGATAATATTATATTTTATTATTATACTACCTACCGTATAAAACAGATAATTAAATAAAGTCCAAATAATAATTTGAAATAGATTTAGTTGGTTTCTTTCCTTCGTATTATTTGTGTTTACTTAATAGTTGGATTATTTACGTATTATTTTATTTGCGTTTAACTTTAAGGATAATTTATAAAATAATAATAAAATGCCTAGACAACAATTATTTTTAATTGGAACTATGAAAAACCAAGTTACTGGCTCTAAATTACCATCAAAAAGAGATTGCCTAAGTGTTTTATTTTACAATATGCGATTCGTCAAATTAAATTTAAATGAAAGTTCACATTTGGTGATCGATGAATGAATGGTTTTTTGGAGAAAAGCGCGTATTTCTACGCAGTATTCTTCCGACTGTGCGACTAAATTAAAAAAATATATGAGTATTGGAGATAAAGTATTGGAGATATTGGATAAAAATAAATCAAGAAAAACAGACACACGAGAAAAAGGTAATAAAATATTTGTAGAAGAATTAGACGATATTTTTGATATTACTCATGCGAACGCTTTGAATACAATAAAAATTGACGAAGATAAACAGTTTTTATTAAAACAATGGCAAAAAGGGCGTCCAGGATGTATGCTTGGTATAGATATGAAATTGACGGGTGTTGAAAATTGTAAAATTTGTCGACAAGAAGAAGAAGAAAGACAAAATATACAACAGAAAGAAACAGAAAATTTCACAGGTAATTTTTAATTATAATATAATATACATATGGCGATATTCTATGTATTGACAACCATTTTATTCAAACTATTTTAGTTTTAGACGAAGTTCAGGATTTTAGCAGTTCAAATTCCGAGTGTGAAGATATAGATACAGATATAGATACAGATATAGATATAGAGGAAACCGTTGACGTACATGATATTCCTAGGCCTTCAAAACCAACACGTGCAAAACAAAACATTATACCACCTCGTTTAGCAGCAGTTCTTGATAAATGCAAAATCAGTGATCGGGATACTGTACATTTATTAACAGCAGTAGCAGAATGTTTCCAGGTAGATTGTTCTGAATTTGTGATAAATAGGACAAGTATAAAAAAAGCTCGAGAAAATATACGTAAACAAACATCGAAAAATGATTCGGATTGTCAACTGATATTGATAGCTATATACATTTCATCCATCGTATGTATGTGAGATATAAAGCTCTTTGTGAGTATGACGTTCTACCATTAACAGTCGCAGGTTCCCGAGCACTCGAGGAAATAACTGGTGAACCGGTAAATTATTGCGATCGACCTGTTGTTTTGACAGGAGATTTTAATGTTAACTTTTCATTGCCAGAGGCTCAACTATTGCTCGATTTCCTTGAATAAAAATTCTCTTTTAGAATGATTAACAGTAGAAATTATCCTACGACTAAAGGTGGTACTACCATAGATGCTGTATTTGCCAGGAAACTTGAAAATATAGAACTAAAACATTTTGTATCATACTTCAGTTATCATAATCCAATCAGTATTACCAGACTGACAAAAAAGCAAACTGATGACAATTCCATAAATATTTAAATATTTATTACATACATTTTATACTTGCCAATAAAACGAAAGTTAATTAAAATGTTACAGAATGTGTTGATTTTTTTATATAATAATATTTACTGTTATTATATTTAAATATTAGATAAAATCATTCCTTTTCTTACTACTCCTTAATAAAAAGTATTCACTTCCGACGTGCGTGATTGCACACACACAGTTATTTATTAATTATTTAAATCATTTGTATTGTAGCCGCTATAGGCGATTAATTATCATTACCATTGTGTGCAACGTGGGCCACATATTATATCGTATTTTTATTATTATTTATTTTATAATATTTGTTGGTTCAAACCTAACCACATAATATTCATTATTTATTACAAGTTATATATATACATTGATTATTTATTTTTTGTTCTATTATAAAATAGAAATTTATTTATTTATTTATTGTTATTTTTATTTAATCGGCGAACAAGCCAGCGCTACATTTTTGTAGGGCACTTGCTACGCCAATAGCTATTAAATGGCATTTGGAACAGTTATTACTAGTGATGGGAATAATCGAATAGAATAATTGAATGATTCGATTATTTGAAATAATCTAATTATTCGATTATCAAAATAGGGTAATCGAATGATTTTAGTAATTGAAATAATAGTAACAGACATATTTATAAAAAGGAAATTAATTGAATTATTCGAAAAAAATGAGTGCTACTTATTGCCCATTAGGTACTAAATTAAGAAGTCAATTTTCCATCAGTATTGTATTATTATTTATTTTAGATTATTAGTAGCATTCGATTATTCGGTTATTTTGATTTTGTTTAATAATCATTCAATTATTTTGTTTTCGACTACTAATCATTCGATTATTTAATTTTTTTTTTCGATTACTAAAATCATTCAATTATTCCCATCACTAGTTATTACGCTGTATCCTAATTGCGGAGTCTGTAAATTGCGTCCCCCAAAAAAGGTCATAGGTATATATTACGTAAATTGCGGCCCATCTACTTTTTAAACAAAATTGTATTATTTAATATTATAATATTTTATCTACGCCGTACCATATAAGGTTATTTATTATTTAAGTAAATAATTGTCAACTTATAAAGTTGATCCACAATGTTCATCCCAAAGTATTAAAATATTAATAAAAAAAAAAAAAAGGAAGTTTGTCGTGTCTTACGGTCAGTGCAAGAGTCAACATGTATAATATTCTAGTCGTGCTATTTGGCACCGGCTGTATGTGCGATTACGATTATCTGACGGTAGAAATGCGCTCGTCGCGACCGATGACAATTGGTGAGGGTCCGCGCCGCCGAACGAAAATCAGTCGCGAGAGCGGTATGTTGAGTAAATAGGTTATTAAATAATAATTAAATAGGTATTCATATGGGCGATGCCCGTTTCCACTAAAAGTAGACCTTTTCCTTTTCCACTAATACCCGTCTCTACCAAAAGTGTATCATTCCCTTTTCCACCAATATCCGTTTCCACCAAATGAGATATTGACCACGTTTTTACCAAAACAATTGTATACTACGCTTAAATTAAAAGCTATAGCACAGAAATACCTTTATTTAACATATACTATTAATTCAATAAATGTAGTCATTGTATAATATATACAATATAGATTGGAAAATGTTAAATTTTATTTAAAAAAATGGTTAGATATGAAAAGGTGAAAAAATTATATATTATGGTATACGATACCTTAGTTATGTATAACTACATATATAATTAGTTGATATTTGTTAACTGATCCAATAAAAAATTTAAAGTTATTTAGTTCTAGTGTTTTATTTTCACGTTTACTTTCGATAACTTTAGATATCATTGAATTATAAATTTTAAAATGTACGTTTTATTTTAACACACATGCAGTTGTAATGCACTATTTAAACTGTGCATCTTTTCACTTGTTCATAAAGTATTTGATTATTTAGATATTATCATGGTTAATGGACATAAGAGTACATGCATAAGTACGATAACGGTTTAACATACAATTAAATACAATAAATGTACAATATACATTGATTATATTGTGTGTATATTTAAACATATTTTACATCAATCCGAAAAACTCATGAAAAGTATAAGTATTCTATCTCATTTGGTGGGAACGGATATTGGTGGAAAAGGGAAAGATAAACTTTTGGTGGAAACGTGTCCACTCATATCGTTATTAATTTTGATGATTTATTTTTCTTCACATTTTTTTTTGTTTCATGTTTCTATTGTGTGACAAAGTTTCATTCGCATTATGATATAATGCTAAAATATGTTTGTTATAAAATACAGAGTATTTTTTAAATTTTTTTCTGTACATGAAACACAATTTTTTACAAAACACTTTTTAACCATTTTAATTTAATAATTTTTAATGTATGTCAACTGTGAATTATATAGTGTAATAAATAAATCGTTTGTGTACCTAATAAAATAGTTAATAAACTATGATAATCATTGGTTTACAACAAAATGTTTACAACTAAATCAAAACCTAATTCCAATAAATTTGTTTAGAATGATTTAAAATCGTTTGTTTACCCTCGAATGGAAGTTTTATTAATTATAGAAGATTTTTCTAAAACTTTTTCAAGAAAAATGAGATACTTAGTATCGTCCATTTCAATAAAAATAATTGAAAAATTATTTGAGCCGTTTAAAAAATCTTAGCTTATATAAGTTGGGCATTAAAAGAAATATATTTACATATTTATATATTAATAATGGAATATCCCATTCATATTATTTAATCCTCACTAGTTCATAAACTACAAAATTGAACCAACATTGGAAACATTTGAAATAGGAGGTTTTAAAGATACTACAGACTATAATGTTTTGCTGTCAAAATAATGGAAGGCAATTTTCAAAATAAGTATATATTTAGATGTAACAGTTCGTTGATGTTTAAAACTTCGAAACATGAACCAATCACTTTACATGTGGACGCGGAGAATCTCTAATTTAATTTTATAGTTTTCGTTTATCAATAATACATCTATATGTATTATTTTATATATTTTTGATATTACATTTTGGATGATAACAAAATTATAACGTGGTGCTTAATCGACTGCGAATAGACGGACCACGGTTTAAAATATTTAATATATACGCGTATATATATTTTGCACTGTGCTACCTCTTAGTTCTTATCAGTTCCCGACTTAATGTTTAATGTTAATTACAAACATGATCATTTAGAACTCAGATCTGAACGGTTCACACTAAGTCTTTTAGTGTTTTTACATTTAGTATTAGTATTTAATAGTGTCAAGGCATAGACACTGTGTGTGTATTAGCCAAATTAGGTGACTGGTCTTGAACACGGTCTCCAGAGGGGTGGGGCAAACGTTTTCTCATAAATAAATCATATCACAAAACAATATATAATTGTTTGGTGGTGTTGACGAGTGGTGGTGATAAACACCTGACCGGTCGAAATTACTACCAGAAGGATAATTTAATAATAATATAGTTAGCGCAAATAATAATTCAAGTAGTAATAAATTAGAATTTCGTACTCGATAGAGTAATAATAAAAAACAAAGATACTCGAAGGAGCAGAAATATAAAAGCGTATGAAAAATATGAATATGACAAAAGGTAAAACGTACGTGAAACAAAGGTGCGGAAAGACAAAAGTGACGTGCGTGTGGACGGATCGGTGGCGAGAGCGAACAAAGCTCGATCGAGCGATCGCCGTAACCACCGTCATCATTCGAACAGGCAAGGATTACATAAATTATAAATAACAAAGAACATATATAAATCAATTCAACGTGGTAAAATACATATAATGGGGTAACAGTTGGTAATATGAGTCAGTGGGGCTACACATATCACACATACATTTGTCCCCCCATATTGTATTTTTTATTATTATCATTGTGAATTGTTAAATGTATGTTCCTTGTGTAATATTAAATTTGTAAACCCTGCCTGTTCGGACGTCGACGGTTACGGCGATCCGTCGACCGAGTCTGACGACTTTATATTTTATCTCCCGTACTCGTATTATAGTCCACGACTGCCATATTCTATTGTGCGATTGTTGTATCTGTGTTCCGTTGCACTATTTATTTCAATTATTATTATTACTCCGTCGAGTATCCGTTAATATACATTTTTAATATTACTATAATTTTACCGCCTTTGTGTACCTTAATTTCGACTACACTTCTGTGAGTAATTTTAGTGAGTGGTTCACACCAGCCACACACCACTAAAACAGTATGGTGTTATACCTACTACCTATGTACCGTTCTCATGATATGAAATAACATAATATTGTGTTATTTTCTATAATATAATATATTACAACATATTATGTTGTTTTTTATCAATATTACGTCTTCCGCTTGTTTTCTTAATAAATACTAATTTTATTTTCTATATTATTACCGTGCGATCTTAATATTAAGTTAAAATAAGAGTGACAGTGACGATCAAATGGCTATAAAGAAAGAAAAAAGAAACGACCAAAGTGCAGGCTGTAGTAAAGTGTATAATACGCAACGTTCCGAAACTATCCACCGATTCGAGCCAAAGGTTAGTAAACCATGTACCCATATTATAATAATTATTACGTATAAATTTAAGAATTATTTATACACTCATCGTGAGTACCATCTCATTATATTATATTATACAGTAAGTAATCAATTTTAGGTATTTTATGTACTCACTAATACTCCGTTCGTGCGGATAATATTGTTACATTGTTCTTTTTTGTTACACTAAAAAATTTGAAATACGAGTATAAAGTATAACTTTTTATTTTTGAATAATAATATCATCATATT